ATAAAACTTTTTGTTAAAATGACCGCCATTTTCTTAAAAATCGAAATTTCGTAAAATCCCTACGTACAGCATTAAAAAATATTGTTGTTAATAGGAACATTCTTTGGTTTTTTTTCTAGGAGCCACGTACAGAGCGGAATTTGACACGCCGTCTAACGGTGTTCCTCCAAAGGAATGTATTTTGGCGCTACCTACAAGAGATTATTTTTGAAACTTTTTCAGTTTGTAATTACAGATTAAAGTTACATTAATGAATGACTAAAACCGATTTTGTTTCTGCGCACTCTTTGTATGCAAAAAAAAAAATTCATGAAAAACGCCTCCAAAATCGCAGTCAAAGGTGGTATCCTGCCTTAAGCGCTGTGCGTCATAAGACTTTTTGTTAGAACTCGTCGAGAACTGTCTAGAACTCCACTCAGAACTACTCGGAACTCTTGCAAGAGCCAATAAGGGTACAGTCCAGTAGCAATCCAGTAGGAAAAATAGTATCGTATGCCGTTGGCTTAAATTACGTAGTTTAAATTTCCCGCCGTTGAAGCATTATCTATTACCAATTCTTATCGAGTTACGTAATGTATTTTCATGCTTAATCATGCCTGAGACGTCGCTGCGGTCGCGACGATTTCTCGTGTCATCGGGAGTGTTCTTTTACCATCTAACATAAGTTGCTCTTTCTCCTAGCAAAAGATTATTTTCTCTCACTTCTTTTGCTTAACACACTCATTGTCAGACGTATAATAGTGAGCAGCTGATTACGTGTCTCGAGACTAGTTTTTCTTGCCGCGATGCATTTAAATTGAGCAAAACAAGAATCAGCATTAATTTCGTCGGCCATAAAATTGCAATTTATTTGCCAATTTGTATAATTTATCATTATTACAAGTATTCGAAATGAGTGTTTTTGTGACACTTACGAAATTATTTACTAGCCCGGCAGCAGGTAATATTTTAGCTTATTCAACACTAGACCTAACGTTGAATATACCATATGTATAATCAGCATAACAAGTTTATTCATCTTGACAAGTATTTTTGAGGTTTTTACTTGTCATTATTTATAATTTCTCTACTACTCAAATGATTAATTAACAATATTGAGAAAATTAACGAAATTACTTTGTACTAAAGAATAAGAGTGTCTTTATTAACACAATAGGCGTTTATTGCAGAAAATATCAGATAGAGAATTGATGAAAGAGGCGATAATACATTTTCCTGAATTGTTATCTGCATCACTCTGTGCTATCACTTAGTTTACTTGAAAAACTGATTGAATGCAATTGTTAGTATGAATAAGATAAGACAAAGCATAAACAATAAAAAGTATAAATAACATGTAAAAATCATTTTCACATAGAACGCAGAGTGGAAGTGTTTTAAAGAAACAGTTACTAGAAATTCTGGTGTAAGAGAATTTTTTATTGTCGTATATAAATTATCAAATTATTAAGTCCGGATAAAATTATTAATTCTGACGAATTGTAGTGCATTTAGGAATCCTATATGCTTTGAACTAGAGAGAACTTTGAAATTAGAGTAGTCGATGGAAAATTAGCTCTCAGCTATCATTCTAAAGACTTGAACTATTAACAGAAATTTAAAGGAATAAAGGACTTTTATTAACCCTTAAACTACACCTGGGGTCAAATTGACCCCAACAAAAGTTTGCGTTAAAATATCTGCTATATAAAATGTGAAGTTGGAACTTATGGCGTCATCTGTTGGTAGTTGAAGTCTTCCTTTTTAAGACTACACACTAGTTGTGGGTCCCAAGGTGCTAGTTGACTAGTGACAGCCGTTCGAAGTAGACGTTTCGAGACGCTGGGGTCAATCTGACCCCATGTGTAGTATACGAATATTGGGAGGAATTTTTTATCATTTTTTTTGTTCAATTTTACTGCATTTCAACTAGAAAAATGTAGGTATTAATTTATATACCGTGTGATTTTTTTTATTAGTTATAACATAAATTATTAGTTATAACATAAATTATAATAATTATAATAAATTTTAAATGGCGTATAATTTGCGAACTCGGAGCATACGCCAGATGCTGTATTGAAATAATGTATTCAACCTTTATTTATCATATATTTTGTAAAAAAAATATTTTACACGCAAAAGACTATCTATTTGAGACATACGCTACACACTGGGGTCAATCTGACCCCACTAGTTTAAACAATTGCTGCAATGATACTATTAATTTTTTGATGTTGTAAAAAATTAGACATGTCATATTAACGTTAACAAGTAGGATAAACTTGGTTTTCCTAGCCATAAATAATGATTGCAATAATTTAAAAAAATTGAAAATGTGCCTTCAATTTTTCCGAAATATTACACCTTCGGTTGTCAAAGTAAACACCTTTTTTGGAATGTGCACTATTGCAATTATTTTTATCTTAAAGAACATTGTTTCAAGAGTATCCAGTTTAATTTTTAAGTTAAAATATTAAAAAATGAAAAAGTTATTGAATTTTAAGTAAAAAACGGCACTTTTTGATCTTCTTTCTACATTTTAATTTTTTTAAATTATTGCAATCATTATTTATGGCTCGGACCAAGTTCATCCTACTTGTTAATGTTCATATAACATGTCTAATTTTTTACAACAGTAAAAAATTAATAGTATCATTGCAGCAATTGTTTAAACTAGTGGGGTCAGATTGACCCCAGTGTGTAGTGTACGTCTCAATTTGAATGTGTGTAGTTTAAGGGTTAATTTGTTAAACTGTTAAAGCGCGAAAGCTTAATTTATTTATTCAAACATATAAATGGCTTATTCCTTGCGAAGCGCCGATACACGTGCTCAGTATTAATATGATTTACGGCATTCATTTAGGCAAGATGTTAGCAAGACGTTATTCGAAAGTCGGATTCGTTGGATTGGGCAACATGGGCGGTCACATGGCGAGGAACTTGTTGAAGAAGGTAATCGGATAAATCACTGTCTTCAAATAATCTTCATTAACAATTTATTCTTGCACTGGCAGGGATATGAGCTCACTGTATATGATGTAAACAAGTCGGCGGTGGCGAATTTAGTGGAGGCGGGCGCAGGTTGTGCGTCAAGCGCGGCTGAAATGTCAAGCGGAGCTGATGTTGTCATCTCAATGTTACCATCAAATCAACACGTGCTGGATGTATACACCGGCGAGAACGGCGTGTTTAGGTGAAAAATCAATTTTCAAGCCCGACATTTTCCGGACTCGATCAAACTTGTTAATTACACGTATTGCAAATTTATTTATCACCGACTTGGTTTTAGTGCAGCGAAGAACAACGTTCTACTGATCGATAGCAGTACCGTGGATCCATCGGTGTCTCAGTCGGTCGCGTCGCAGGCTCGGGAACGTAATTTGAGATTTATCGACAGTCCCGTGTCAGGAGGCACGTTTTAATTTATTAAGATACAGTAGAAAAGACGCGAACAATATTTGGAAACCGATTATGTTCGATTGGCTATATTTATATTATTCACCCTCTCTTTCTTGTGACGTTTTTCACTTACATAAATGTTTGAATGACTAGTTTTCAAATTAAATTAATTAATTACAAGGGACCGTATAAAAATTGAAAGCATCATAACAATTAATTAATTGTTGTAATGCTTTCGATTTTGTTCAAACTTGTCGCAATTGACATAGTTTGCTTAAAAATTTTTTTACTTATTAATTACGATATGCTAATTTATTAGTAAATTTTTTTATTCATCTATCACGCTATCATTATTAATTTTCTAATACTTTTTCCGCTATTTTTATTAATTAATTAAACCTATTTTAAAGCTGAAGAAGACTGTGCAATTCGAAACGTCGCAGTAAAATTTTTTAATTAAAAAATCCTATTTGCAACAATAATCTCCTTATCGTTCATTGGCCCACGATCTTTCTACATATAGTAGCTAAACTAAAAACTAACTGCGTGTTTAATCGGGTCGATGTTGCAGGTGTGAACGCAGCTAAGGATGGTACGTTGACATTCATGGTGGGCGGCTCGGGAATGGATTTTAACGATGCGAAGTCCATTCTTGAAGCTCTGGGATCTAGGATAGTGCACTGCGGAGACGTGGGCATGGGACAGGCGGCTAAGCTGTGTAACAATATGTTATTAGCCATTAGTATGATTGGCACTGCCGAGGCGTTCAACCTTGGGCAAAGGTGAGAGACATGTCTGGTCTGTATGCGCTCGTAATTGTCGCCTTTGACGCGCCGATGAATGAATGCGCTTAATATTTTAGGCTGGGCTTGGACGCCAAGATATTGGCCGACATTGTAAACTCGAGCTCGGGCAGATGCTGGTCTTCCGATCTCTACAATCCGGTTCCAGGGATCCTGCCCAATGTTCCCAGTTCGAAGAATTATGAGGTAATCGAGTGTCGAAGGCTTCTGCGTGATCCGATTTTCTTTTTATACTGCACTGATTCGCAGAAGCAGAATTCCAGCTGCAGGAAGCGGGATAATCGGGGCAGATAAACGTTGCAAAATTATAACGCTCACATTACAAAGCTCGTATAATTTACTTCGAGTACTCTCAATTAATTATATTGCACTTACTGCTAATTTATTTAGGAGCAAATAACTTTAAGCAGTGAACGGCTTCATCGTACTTGTACGAATATTATTATTCGCGCGTCTGACGAGAACTGTATGATTATGTATAATATGATTACTATAATAACAAGTTGACGTATGCAGGGCGGTTTCGGGACAACATTGATGGCCAAAGATCTGGGACTGGCGCAATCCGCCGCTACCAGAACGCAAGCTCCGATTCCCCTCGGTTCTCTGGCGCATCAAATTTATAGAGCGGTGATCGCTCAAGGATTCTCGAACAAGGACTTCAGCGTGGTCTATGAATTTCTTAAAGGTAAAAATTGAAGAGGGCATTTATATTAAGCCTTATTAAAATAATGTGTACGTGGTCTCGAATGAAGTAAACGATTTTTGTACTTGGTATTGTTTACAAAAGTTTACAAAAGACGTTTCTTGTTGTCTATCTAACACCTTAGTATCGTGCGGTTACATGCATTAGTCTGTATTATTCGTGCGAGTTCTGCAACCTGCAGAGGGCACCAGTTTACAGGCAGCGGCTAAGCGATCTCTGTCCTGCAGGAATAATTGGCTATTTAGGCTTAGCAAATCCAGAAATTTGCGTTCGATGGGTTGTGGGCGTTCACATATATTTATTTCATACACGTCATCCATTCGTACGTATAGGTATATTTTCCTGAGTGAAAATTTTATAAACATTTGAGGAAAGATGGAAGCCAGACGTAGTTTAATCTGGCAACGAGAAGAATAATAGAGATTAGAATAACAGCGAGGACTCATACGTGTATGCGTTTGGTATAAACGGAGCGAAAAGCTATTTTTTTACTTATTTCCTTACAAAAATTAATACTTTGTGACTTGTTCATAGCTTTATAAAAGGGTTTTGCAATATGATTTTCTTATTGAATTAGTACAGAAAAGTCTCCGTACCAAAATGAATGATTATACAATTCTGAAAATTATTTCATTATCGTATAGTCAAACTGTGGTATGTTAGTACGCTGCTTTATCAACGCTTTCGTACTTACGGTACGATTCTTGTAAGTTTACAGTTGTAAATTTTACGACGTTACAAATAACAATGGCAATCTTGCTAAGCAGCAGCATCATATTTGAAATTTGATCACGTCGCTTCCGTTAATGATAGCAGCGAAAGCAAAGAAATTCGTGAAATAGAGATAATTTAGCGTAGCTTACGTTGACTAACGTAGTACTCGAATCTGCTCAACTTGGTTTCATTTATCACAGTTGTTTCTTTCATACGCCGAGATGTTTCTAGGTAGTGGCGTTAATTAAAACAGACTATGTCGAAAAGTTAGATTAGAAATTTATAATTATCGAGTCTAATAAGACCGATACATATTAATTTTACTATTAGAATTAATCACTAGTAACTTTTTTTTTAGAACGCCAGCCTGTTCACAGGCGCGTGAACGAACGTTTCGCTTCATTCGCGTGTTTAATTGAGAAAACGAAATTCTAGTAATTTCATAAAATCTGAATATTTAACGAAAACCATTCTTGCTTCGGTGCATCTCTTCAGGATTATATTTCCGGCATCGAATGTCGCCACAGGTTTTCTTCCCGGTATACTCCGAATGGAATCAGCGTTACATCTATTGTAAAGACAGAAGGAAGTTTACTTTTTACGGCTACAAGCTCTCGCAACTGTGTGTAGCCAATCAACTTGCATCTTTTGCGGAAAGGCTGCAAGTTGATTGGCCACACCTTTCTCGGAACTGGAACTGGGGCACAGTTCTTGGATCGTGGACACAAGGCTTGACCATAGTAAAACCAGTATGCCCACTCTGTCATTTGTTTTGTTCTGCGTCGATCCTTTCTGCGCATCCCCGCCATTACTTCCCCCCATGGAAAAGAATATATCCTAAAATATAAAATATATGTCAATGCTCTTACGCTAGTATACACAAATATAAGAATGCATATAACTAACTAAATCATTTTTTGTCGCCTATGATATAGAAAAAATATAAGAGAATACTATACATATATTTACATGGAATATGCAAAATATATTTTTAATACGTAATCTAATATATAAAACATATAAAATATATGCCCGCATATGTGAAATTACTCAAGAATATATATTTATATAACACATATTTCAAAATATATGTAATGTATTACATACATTTTTAAATATATTTTTACACGGGGGTTTGGTGGAGCCAATGAAACGGATGTTGTATACGTGAAATCAGTGTGACAGGGTGACAGGATTTTACACCAAAAACATGACGGGACACCGCGTGATCGAAATCGAAAGGTTCAAAGGACCGACAGAGAGTTGGGGTCTGGGCATTACTGCTCGCACCATGGCTTGACGAAGGTGCCGGCGGCGACTCAGCCGGGCCTGAGCGCTCGGCCAATCGCGCGCGCCCAAGCCGCGTCACGTGACGCACGCGCTCGCGGCGAGTCTCCGCGTTGACTAGCGCAGTGCGCGTCCCACCATCGCAGTCATTCGACGGCTCTTTTTTGTGATCAGAGGCGTGGACGAGAGGGCAGTGCGGTTCGGTGCGACTGACGGTCGTGCGGTGTCGAGTTCGAGAGTTTTCCCGCTGTCGTTTCCGAGGATCTCGCGCGCGAGTCAGGCAAGTAGAGAAAGAGAGATAGAGATAGAGAGAGAGAGAGAGAGAAAAAGAAAGGTGGGGACGCAAAACGGGACACGAGCGCGTTACGAGTCCGACCTGTCCGACGCCGTCGAGTCGCCAGTCGCGGCGAGATACACGGGGCCGAGCTGTCGGTGGCAAGTTTTTCCCGCCGGATTTTCGCGAGTGAGCTGGCGCCAGCAGCAGCAGCAGCCGTCCGAGGAGGCAGTCGTCCAGCAACGGCGGCGTTCGGTCGTATGTGTCGCTAGTGTGTGTGCGCGCGTGTGTGTATGTACCGTACGTATCACGCACGTGCAATACCGAGAGCCGAGATCCGTCGTTCCTGTTGTGTGCGCACACGTACGTAGCCGTGCGTGCGTGCCGCGTCCCGTGTTCCGTGCCGTGTCGTGTCGTGTGTCGTGCGTGCGTGCGCGCGCTCCCAGTCGGTGCGACGAGAACCCGTAGGAGCGGAGAGGAGCGTCGCCGAGATCCCTCCCCGCGTGCGCGATACCCGCGCGGATCAGCGGCAGCCCGAGTGCGCGCGAGCGGCGGCGAGCGCGGAGGCGAGCGAGAGGCCTAGAGCGCGGCGGAGAGAGGACGTGTGTGTGTGCGTGTGGCCGAGACGGGAAGAGGAGATAAAGATGAGCAAGACGTGCGCCCGCTGCGAGAAGACGGTCTACCCGATCGAGGAGCTCAAGTGCCTCGACAAGGTACGTAGAGAGCGATTGTTCCCCGCCGCGAGATCCCGCAGGAATTCGCGTCCCCTTGGAATCCTCATGTCGGAGAGGAGTGCCGCTCCCCGGGAGGGAGAGCGGGAGAGATGTACCGTTCCCGTTCGGCCCCATTGAGTAGGGCTTGGCCCAGTGGCGGCCTTCGCGCCGTGCCGATCGACGGCCTTCCTCGTCGTGCGTGCAAGCATGCGTGCGCGCGCGCGCGCGCGCGCGCGCGAGCGATGCACGCGTGTTCAACGCCGTGGAACGCTCCGCCACTCGCCGGAGGGAGTCTACTTGTTGCGTCCCGATGCGGCGCGACGGACGAAAATCTCGCTCGGTTTGATTTAGGTTTGATTGAAAGTCGAGTAAATGGTCACAGTGAGGGGCTCAGTGGCTCGACTCTCGAATTTATTCCGAGGAGAAACGTATGCGGGAATTCTGCTCGCGCGGAAAAGTCGAGGGGTTCGGCTGGTCAGAGACCACTGCGGGCAGCCAATCAGCTTTGCGACTTTTCTGTAAGAGCGGAATTTTCGCACGCGTTTCTCCCTCGAGTGAACTCGAGAAACGAGCCCCTGAGCCTAGACAGGGTTGTGGTGTCGGACAGAAACGTTTGAAATACCTAGAATGCGAATAGACGTTTCGGTCCTAACTGGACCATCTTCGGTCTAAAGGCCTGTATCCACGATGCTAGAACTTGGTCCAAGTTGCAGCTATTCTATAAAAGCTGCAAGTCGATTGGCTACACATTTCTCGAAACTAGAACTTGGACCAAGTTCTAGCATCGTGGACACAGGTCTTGAAGAAAGGGATATAAGTTAGCGCGTGATGGATAAACAAGAGTACAATTGGTACAAGAAATTACGCGGTCAGTGATATAAAATCTGAAGAGATAGAACGGTCGTACATGAAACGCGACGCGAATGTGTCGAATAAACGAATACGCATGCGCATTATTTATATATATAATTTTTTAGAAGAACGGGGAAACATCGGAAAGGACGTTCGGGAGATCCACTTGTTGCGCGCCGCGTTCTCGCGACGCGAACAAAGTACGGCGCATGAAAGGCCGCGAGATAGCTGCCCCACCGCGCGCCACGAAGATGCAAGGACATCCTGGATTTTGTACATACATTGTAGCGAACTCGATTAACTGTATTGATACGCGTTAAAAGCCGCTAGACCGTTACGGCGGTGCTCGCGTTTGTTTTTACTTGAAAGTCGAATAAATAAAATCGTGGCACGGTACTTGAAACCGGCGAGGGAAATATGGGATCGAAGGCTGGGCACGACAAATGCGGTTATTGGCGAGTCACGCTTCGATTTTTAAACGCGATAAGACAAAGAGACCGAGGCGAGAAGATTAAAGTCGACCGTCTTCCACGTCGCGTTGACATTCGTCGTTTCGAAGAATAGAATCTCGATGATTCTGGACGTGTTTCCGATCGTTGCGGGATGCGTAGTCCTCGCTTACGGCACGGCATAGAACGGGCACGCAGCATTTTTCGAGATACGCAGAAACGGAGTGGGAGTACCATGGCAGGATGTACCGTTCGCGAACCGATTGCAATGGTTCAACCGAACGTTATAACTGGTATCTATAAATGTAGATTGCGGAAGGCCTCACATAGCTGCACGGTTTTATTCTGCAGTACATTCCGCGCGTGGAAAAGTTAATTATAAATACGACGGACGGCACGATTTTCGAGAAAACGGCACCAAGGAAGGGGGAGGGTGCGAAGGAGTAGACGATTCAAAGGCGTCTATTTTAGTTGTATATTTTTTTTATATTTTATTTATACGCGAAATGTTTTCCGAGCGGAAATTTTCAAAAAGCGGTCGCGATATTCGCGACGTTGCGCGGCTGAAAAAACTCGCATGGTATTATCTACATATGCGTATTATCTACGTACTATGTATTGCATAATTACGTAACGGTACTCCAGTCTACAGGGTGTCGGATTCGATTTGGACCACTCCAAAGATTATAGTAGATTGGGTCAAACTGAGAAGAAAAGTTATATACCATTTTACAAAATCCGTAATTATTTTTTACGCATTATCGCGTAATTGAGAAAAACGTCTGAGTCAATAAGTGCACGGAGGAGCTGAAGGCCGGACTCGGCAGACACGCAAAATGGTGTATTATTCTCCTA